ATAAGAGGGGCTGAGCAAAGTGGTAACATAGCCAAACAATGGTTTGCTAGGACAAGGTGGTTAGAGGCTTGGCTTAACAATATGGGAGGCATGATAAGCGAGTGGTAGGTATCGCAGCATGAGCATAGCAAAAGAGCGAGCAACTAGCAAGCAAAGATAGAAGTAATTTCGAGGGTATGGTCATCTTGCCTGAAATCCCGCAAGGAAGAAGAACGAGTCCATGAAGAAGACAAACGGACGTAGTCGAATGGATCCTCACAAATGCGACGTTATCGGAACCAACCCGAAGAAGCAACACCGGAAAGACGCACACAACATAGTAAACAACCAACACATGAACATGGCATGATATGCGGGACACGGTATGCGGTGCATATGCATTATTAGGAAAGGAATTATTGAACCTGGCCTCTACTTGGAAATCCAAGAGTGCCACTAGATAGAGGAGATGATTTCGGTCGAAATCGATATAAAGATCACCGGAATCGGATGCACGGTTTGGAAATGGCAAGCAAAACAAATATGGCACCGGTCTGCGATAAATAGCAAGTAGCCAACTAAATGCATCAAGATAAATATGCTACAGCACTCAAACATGGCAACAAAATACATGGCAGGAATCCACTCATGATGCTTGACAAAAGATGAACACTGAGCTACGGCTAATTCACTCATTAACAGGTTCAAACAAGCATGGCAAAAGTGCAAATGATAACATGTTTCAGACTTACTGAAATTAACAGCAAGTCTGGAATTTATCATCATCAGGAAGCAATGTTTAGAGCATGATAACTACATGCTACAGGAAGATATCATGGCAAAGTAAGGCATGGCATGAAGCTACTCAAATCACATAACAAAAGTCTCTAAGTGACCATGAGCCAAAAGGGATCAAAAAATACAATTGCAAGCATGTGAACATAGCAAAAACATAAACATATTCAGACTTCGTGAAAAACTGGAGCATGCAAACAGATTAACAAGTAGGCATGTTTACAAGTTCGATGCACTCACTACAAAGCATGGAATGACAAACTAAGCATACACCCATCAAGAAGACGTGGCATAGAAGCTAGACATGGCAAGAACAACAACATAGCATGCACGGATCAACAACCATAAGCTCGGCAAAAATGCTAAACATGTTAACAATCTGCCAGGAACATGTTATAGGAAAAGTAGAGCTCGATTGACTCAAGCTAGGGTGCTCCATAAATGCAAACAAATACATGGATGGATAGAGCACCACAATATAAACAAAACATCCTTACTGATCATGCCCAAAAGATGCACGGATCACTAGGAATCAACATGAACATATGACATAAAAATAAGGACAGGGCAAGGACTTAGTGAAATTCTAAGTCCCTGAAATCAGCATCATTGAGTAAGCTACTTTGCATGCTTGTGCTAGTCACCATAAAGATCACAAAAATACATGGCATACACCCCTGTAAAGATGGCATGGCATTCTACAAAACACATGTAGAGCTCAGGATCATAGCATGCACATATTAATCATGGCAAAAATGACAAAAGTGCATTTGCTGAAACCGATCTGACATAATCATCACATAGCCCTCTTCCAACGACATTTCAGGCATCAAGATAAGCTCAAATGAAAATGATGCAATGAGATGAAATGATGTACTCGTCGAGACGAACATTTTGATATGCTACACGCACGAATTGGAGCAACAGTTGATGAGTTATGACATGATGAAGATGCCTAAAAATTACTGGGACTTGGCAGAAAAATGACCTCCGAAAAGTTAACGCGGGATGAGATGGAGCGGGACGAGGAGATCCGGGTTCGCGAGACGGTGTGTTTGGATCGGGGGACGGGTGGATCTCATCCACCCCGACCCGATCCGGCGAGGAGGCGGCGCCGGCGAGCTAGGACGCCGGTGACGGAGGAGATCCGGCGGCGAGCTCGTGCCGCGGCGGCGAGGCGAAGGAGCGGGCGAGGCGGAGCGTCTCGGCGGCGGCGGCGTTGCGCGGCGGCGGCGGAGCAAGGCGCGGCGGCGGAGGAGCAGCGGCGCGACGACGGAGATCCGGTGACGCGGAAACCGGGGCGGCGGGCGACGAGCGGCGGAGACGGCGGAGTCCGGCGATGCTCCGGCGACGGAGGCGCGGCATCTCAGGCACCCGGGCGGTGCGGGCGGCGAGATCCGGGCCGGGCGGGCCGTGCCTGGGCCCGCAAGGCCGCGGTGGTGGAGGAGAGAGAGAGGAGCCGACAGGATGAGGTGGCGAGGCGTGATTGGAGGTGGGAGGCGGCGGTGATGACGTGCCGCGACGTGATTCGCCGGAGTGAGGTGGCGGCTGGATGCGTCTGGCGGGCGCGAACATGTCTGGCGGCGGTGAGGGGGGATTTTAAGGTTTTCGTCCACGAATTTCGGGAGGGGAGCACATATATCTAGAGGGAGCTAGGAGAGTCCAAATGAGGTGCGGTTTGCGGCCACGCAATCGTGATCGAACGCTCTAGATGATGGAACATGTTTAGGTGGGTTTTGGGCCACTTTGGAAGGGTGTTGGGTTGCAACACACACGAGGCCTTTTCGATCCCTCGGTTAACCGTTGGAGTATCAAACGAAGTCCAAATGGAACGAAACTTGACAGGCGGTCTACCGGTAGTAAACCAAGGCCGCATGACAAGTCTCGGTCCAATCCGAAAATGTTTAACACCCGCACACGAAAAGAGGTAGAAAGGGACACCGAGTGACATAGGAGCTCCGGATTGCAAAACGGACAACGGAGAAAAAGCTCGGATGCATGAGACGAACATGTATGCAAATGAAATGCACATGATGACATGGTATGAGATGCATGACATGCAAGCAATGACAAGGCAACCACAGCGAATAACTAGAAGACACCTGGCACATCGGTCTCGGGGCGTTACATCTTTGGTACAGAATCATAAGGCGTGGCTCAACCTTTGGGATACAGTGGCACCGGGTAGGGTCAAGACCCACATGTGGCGGCTTGTTCACAATGGGATCGCGGTCGGTTTGGAACTCCACAGGAGGAAGATCAAACCCAGAGTATTTTGTGTTGCATGTTGGCGCGAGGAGACCAAGTTTCATAGGTTTTAGGGCTGCCATCACTCATTGAAGTCTGGAAAGTTTTGCACTCGGAATTAGGAGTACCGGTGGTGATCCCGCCGGAGTCCGTGAGCTCCCTGGGTGCTCTTTCAAAGTGGCTCATGGCCTGGTCTGAGGCTTCAGACGACGCGGGTGCGGCCATGGTCCAAGGCCTCTATGCTTTGTGGTTGGCTGGGAACAATGCTCGGGATGGAAAAAGGATTGAGGAGGCGTCGAACACTATTGCGACAGTCGAAAGGTTGATGGAGAAGTGGCAAGCGGTTCATGGAAGAACGAGCAAGATGCCCAAACCTGTACCAGTTGAGAGGTGGAAGCCATCGGATGAAGGGTGGGTGAAGGTAAACGTAGATGGAAGGGATGGGCCGGAGTGGTTTTCAGAAACCACGAAGGAGCCTTCCTAGGAGGGGCCTGTCACTTCTTCCCAATGAGCCATGAACCAACACACATTGAGCTTCAAGCATGCAGGAAAGCGGTTCAACTGGGCAGATGAGGTAAATGCAATGGGTTTACACATAAAGATGGACCGCCTTGAAATTGTAAGCAAATTGCAAAGGAAAGAACCGGACGTGTCGACGCTGGGGCCTCTAATTAAAGAGGTGAAAAGCAATGCTGGAGACGCGCGACAGGTGAAAGGTGACGTGGGATAGAAGGACGGCAAATGGTGTTGCGCATGGACTAGCTAAAAAAGGGGTGTTGAATAATCTGTGTAAAGTTTGGTTGCAACAACCTCCGGATTGTATTCTGCACACTATTTCGGCACAGAACCCTGCCTACTTTGAATAATTAGAGAGAGGGTGGTGAATTTCAAAAAAAAAATTGTTGGTGTGGTGGGAACAGCAGCCTGTGTCGAGCAGATAATCAATCACCCTTGACCAAAACGCGTAGACAGTAACGTATTCTAGGACCTTGGCAGCATCAATGGAGATTTCTGCGCCCAGCAATGTACAGTGGACGTTTTTTTCGTTTGGGGGCAGGAGGGCGCAGCTAGGTCGCGACTTGCGAGTCCGCCAATTCCTGACTGGAATCTGCTGTTCTAACCGTTGTCAGTTGTCTTGCAGCCAAGTTCTATGCTTTACTTTTTTTTTGCGGGAGACTTTACTAATTAATCTGACTGACGACGACCTGGGCGGAATCTGCTGCTGATTGCTACTAGCCGCCGTTGGAATCTTTTGCTCAGTTCCATTTTTTGTGCTCTTCATTTTCACTCACTCGTGTCAAGTCATTGACTGACTTGGCGTTTCCGACTTGGAATGGCACACGCACAGGCACAGGGAAGTGATGCTGTGGTCTGCCTATCAAACATTGCGCATAAGCAACAGAAAGTGCTCTTTTAATCACGATTTTAATCTCGAGCTCACATCTTCCTCATGAACAATAAAATAAAAAACAGATTTTTTTTGGTGATAAACATTGATAAATGTTTTCACTGCATGCAAAAAATTGTGATGAAATGACATTAGTGAAAATGTGGGGCAAAAAACAAAATCAATGCTCCAAAATGCTTCCGACAATAATGTTTTAGAAGGATTGATTTTGTTTTCTTTTTGCCCACATTTCCATGAATGTCATTTCGTGACAAATTTTTTGCGTGCAATGAAAACATTCATCAATGCTTATCAACAAAAAATTCAGATTTTTAAAAAAATCAGAACTTTTGAAAAAATATTTATGATTTTTTTCGACTTTACTGTTTACGAGGAAGCATGTAAGCTCAGGGGCAAAAACTGCACGTCTGCTATTAACTAGCTCGCCAATGGCGGCTAGTGCTTTTATCAATTAAAAAAACGATGGCGACCAACCAATCAACGCTGAAGCCCAACGGATATGCTGCTTAACAGACAAGAAATCATTCTCAGACCTACACAGCACACCAGAAGTTCCAGCGAGAAAGTGAGAATGGCGGCGTCCGCTGCTGCTCTGTGTCTCTCCGTCCTGCTCCTCATCGCCGTCTGTTGTCGCTCCGACGTCAACTTCATCTACCAGGGCTTCCAGCGCGCGCCCAACCTGAGCCTGGACGGGTCGGCGTCGGTGCTGCGCGGCGGCGCGCTCCAGCTCACCAACGACAGCGAGCGCCTCGTCGGCCACGCCTTTTACGGCTCCCCCGTGGCCCTGGGCACGCTCGATGACAGCCAGAGCGGTGGCGGTCTCGCTGTCTCCTCCTTCAGCACCGCCTTCGTCTTCGACATCGTGACCGTCGGCACCGGCGGCGGCCACGGCCTCGCCTTCGTCGTGGCCCCGTCCAGGGCGCTCCCCGGCGCGTCGCCCGAGATCTACCTCGGCGTCCTCGGACCGAACACCAATGGAAAGGTCTCCAACCATGTGTTTGCCGTCGAGTTCGACACGGTCACGGACCTGGGGATGAATGAGACCAATGGCAACCACGTCGGCGTCGACGTCAACAGCCTCGTGTCTAATGTGTCGGAGCAGGCCGCGTACTACACCACCGGCGCCGACGGGGAGGACATGAAGGTGCCCGTGAAGCTGGAGAGCGCACAGCAGATCCAGGCGTGGATAGACTACGACGGCGGTAGCAGTCTGCTCAACGTGACCGTCGCCCCAGTGTCCGTGACTGGCCGGCCGCAGCGGCCGCTCATATCAACAAAGATTGATCTCCGATCGGTCTTCAAGGAGAACATGTACGTCGGCTTCTCCTCGGCGACGGGGAAGCTCGCGAGCTCGCACTACATCCTGGCATGGAGTTTCCGGACCAATGGGCTCGCCCAGCCCATCGATCTCCGGCGGCTGCCAAAGGTCCCCAGGCAGAGAACGCCGGCTCCCAAGGTCCTCATCATCAAATTCGCCGCGGTGGCTTGTGCGGGAACGATCACCTTGGTTGCCGCAGCGATGGTTACTGTGCTCTGGCTCCGGCGTAGAGCGGCGCTCGCCGACAAACTGGAGGACTGGGAGCTAGAAGTAGAGCACCCCCAGAGGATTCCATACATAGAGCTCTACAAGGCGGCCAGGGGGTTCAAGGAGAGCGGGTTTTTTGGCTCGGGTGGATTCGGCCACGTGTACAAAGGCGTGCTCGGACGTCGTCGGTCCGGGTCCGGGTCCGGGCCCGGCGACGAGGTGGCCATCAAGCGGATTTCCAGCGGCACCAAGCAAGGGATGAGGGAGTTCGTCGCGGAGGTCTCGAGCCTGGGGCGGATGCGCCACCGCAACCTGGTGGAGCTGCGCGGGTGGTGCAAGCACGACCAGGACCTGCTCCTCGTCTACGAGTTCATGCCCAACGGCAGCCTCGACGCGCACCTGTTCGGCGTGCTGAAATCTGAGATGGGCTCTAGGCCCATATTGCAATTTCTGAAAAATCTCTAAGGGCCCATGTGGGTTATATGGCACTAGATGTGTGGGAAGTTTAGTCCCACCTTGGAAGTGGAAGAAGAGTTGGAGTGGTTTATAAGAGACTCTCTCCCTCATGCTATTGGAGCTTGAGAAGAGATGAGGCCCTCGCGCACTCCTCCTCCTCCGCTCGCCGCGCCGCGGGTTGCGGGATTGAGCCGAGCCGAGCTCACTCCTATGCGCTTCTTTTTGCCGGTCAGGAACGGAGAGTCTTTGACAGGTGACGTTCAGCCCACGTCTCTCCACGCGCGGCCGCACATATATATGTGGGGCGCTGCCAACCCTAGCCGTCACAAAACAGAACGCATCTCCGCCTCCACGCCCACGTCGTTCCTCTGCTGCTGCTGCCGCCGGCGACTCCGTCCCGTTCACCGCGTACACGGTTGACGGGAGAGCAGGCCTCCGAAACCACGCCTCTCCGGATCCTGTACGGGGAGAGGGGCGATTAGGTTTTTGGGTAGCGACTACGCGACTGCTCGCTTCTGTTCATCTACGTCCGCATCACCTTCATCATCACCATGTCGACCGACACCGACCGTGCCGCCGCTGAGAAAGCCGAGGCCGACAAGAAGGCCGCCGAGGATGCCGCGGCTGCTGTCACCGCCACCGCCACCGCGTGGCCGATTGGAGGGTATACATCGCTTATCCCTCTCGTGTTTCTTTCTGTTGTAGCAGTACTAGC